AAGCTACTACTCCAACCATGCGTCACATCTACAGAGTTCTTGCGAGCCAGTACGATCCTCTTGGCTACATCCTCCCCTACACAACAAGAGCCAAGATCATTGTCCAGCACCTGTGGGCAAAAGCAAGAGAATGGGATGACCCAAACCTTCCCCACAACATCCTAGAAGCCTGGCTTTCCTGGGAAGGAGAACTCCCTAATCTCTCCTCAATAGTACTGCCCCGTTGTCTTATCCATTGGACAGTAGACACCCAATCAGCCATCAAAGACCTGCACATCTTCTGCGATGCATCAGAGCAGTCTTATGGCGCAGTCGCCTACATGCGCACTGAAGATGGTCAACAGGTGAATGTGTCCTTCCTAATGGCAAGGTCCCGTGTTGCGCCCAAAAAACAACTATCTATCCCTCGACTTGAACTGTGCGCAGCCCTTATTGGAGCTCAACTGTTCAACCTCCTCCAAACAGAGATCACCCTTAACATCAGACAGGCTACTTTTTGGAGTGACTCTACCACTGTCCTCTATTGGCTTCTCTCAGACTCATGCCGCTATAAGGTCTTTGTTGGAACCAGGGTGGCTGAAATCCAGGAGCTCACCAAAGGCCAGGAATGGCGCTATATGGATTCCCGGAACAACCCAGCTGACGATCTGACTAGAGGGAAGCAACTGTCTGATCTAAGTAAGCCTTGCAGGTGGAACCAAGGACCTGCCTTCCTCCTGCAACCCCCTGACCTGTGGCCAACTAACCCCACAATAGATCAGGCCGAAGATCCTGTCGAGCTACGTAAGCCCAGTTTCTGTGGTGCTGTATTTCTTTGCCAAAATCCTTCTATCTCCGACCCTACTCAGTTCACCACCTTTCAGGATCTCCTTGACTCTACTGCTGCATCCCATCATGGGGTGGCAGAACCTCCTGCAACACCATCGGCAGCAACCTACTTTGACGCAGAGATTGCAATCCTAAGACAGTCCCAGCTGGATTCCTTTGGAACTGATTTGACATGCCTTCAGACCCACAAACCCCTTCCACATTCCAGTCGTCTTCTTTCCCTTGCTCCGGAACTAGATCCAGTGTCAGGTCTCATTCGAGTAGGCGGACGGTTACGACAAAGCAGTGACCTGCCCCCTGATGCCATACATCCAGTTGTCCTGGACCCTGCCCATCTGATCACAAAACTTATAATTAAAGATTGTGATAACCACCTACATCATTCTGGTCCCGAGAGGCTATTTGCTGAGCTGAGGCGGCAATTCTGGATCCTGAGGGGTCGTGAGGCTGTCAGGAAACACCAGCACAGATGTGCTAAGTGCCAGCAGTTCCGTGCCAAACCCCTTATTCCCCAAATGGCCAATCTTCCTCCTGCTCGCCTACGCCTCCGCAAACCTCCCTTCTATTCCACCGGGATAGATTGTTTCGGGCCCTACAGTGTGAAAGTTGGACGACGAGTTGAGAAAAGGTGGGGAATTATTTTCAAATGTCTGACAACTAGGTGTGTACATCTAGATTTACTCAGTCACATGAACACCGATTCCTTTCTAATGGCACTAAGGCGCTTTATAGCTCGCAGAGGCAAACCTTTTGAGCTGCTTTCTGACAGAGGTACCAATTTCATCAGAGGCAACAGAGAGCTACAGGAAGTCTACCAATCCCTGACCCCTGACCTCCAGGAAATCCTGGCCAAACAGAGGATCTCCTTCAAGTTCAACCCCCCACACGCACCCCACTTTGGCGGGACGTGGGAGCGTGAAATACGTTCCATCAAGATTGCCCTGCAGACCACTCTAGGTGCCCAAGCTGTCACTGAAGAGGTGCTACGCACAGTGATGATTGAAATTGAAGGTATCCTCAATTCAAAGCCCCTAGGTTATGTCTCTTCTGACATTGCAGATCCTGATCCGGTGACTCCTAACCTGTTGCTCATGGGGCGGCATGACTCTTCCCTTCCTTTGGTAACATATCCTGACTCTGAGCTGCGCAGCCGCCGTCAGTGGCGTCATAGTCAGATTCTTTCTGATCATTTTTGGGCCCACTTCATCAGAAATTATCTTCCTTCTCTCCAGTCTAGACAGAAGTGGCGCACTGATAATCCTAACCTCCAACTAAACACTGTTGTTCTCATTCTTGACCCTCAGCTCCTTCGGTCCCTCTGGCCAGTAGGTAAAGTGATTTCCCTTCATCCCGGCAAGGATGGCCATTGTAGGGTTGCAGATGTCCAGGTGGGGGACAAACAGTACACGAGACCTGTTGCCCGCCTCATCCCACTCCCTGCCCTACCTGAACCCCCATGACCTTCCACTCAAGCAAATTTGCAAGACAAATTTGGGGGCGGCTGTTTGGAAGTTTCCTGTCTGTCCTGCAGTTGCCACGCCCATTTTTTCTTTGCCACTCAGTTCCCCATGCAGTTCCCCACACCTTCATCTAATTAGCTCCAATCAGCCACAGACTTTATTAGACAGCACCTGTGCACAGCCCTTTCTCTTTGTTCCTGCCACATGGAGGAATCCTTGTATGTTGCTGCTGGAAATGCCTTGTCTCCTGCCCTGTGTGCGTTATTGAACTATGTAAGTTCCATACGTTTCTCCTTTGATCGTATGTTACTTTATGAGACTGTTCCTTTCTGTCTGTTTAAAGGTACAAATGTTTGGTTGTCATTCAAATGGATTGTGGCCTTGTATTGTGGCATTATGTAGCTAATTGTATCTCATATCATTTCCCTTTTAGAAACCACACATACACACACACATATACAAACATACCTAATAAAGAAAGACATTGTGTAATCAAGTGACTGGACAAGACTGTTCTTATCGACAACTCCACTGGTCTCAAGCCAGCTACCTGCACATCCCTCTCAAACCTCCTTTTCATGGTCCTTCGAGCCGGAGCCCATTGATGATCGGTGGATATGTCCAGTCACTCCTTGCCTTCGTTACTTCAGCGTCCTCACCGCCAAGCCCAGCGTCCTGTACGCTATGATGATTACGTCATGGAATATGGTCAGCAGCCACGACATCCTGCTGAAGCACCAGAGCCACCACCGCTTCACTCTGCAGACATTTTTGGTGTTGGACCTCAGTATCAACCACAGCATGAGTCTGAGGAGGAGGAAGAGCCACCTCAACTACCCAGTGAGGAGGAAGAGGCACATCAACTACCCAGCGAGGAAGAGCCAGCAACAGAGCCTCCCTCACCTGTCTCTTCTGGGAGAGCCCTAGCCCCTGAGTACCCACGTGACCCTCATGTAGCCTCAATTCCTGACCCTCAAACTGAGCTCTTACAGCAGTTACTAGAAGAAGTAAGAAACCAAGGTAGACTAATCCAGCGCTGTATGCTTGGTGAAGGCCAATTCTCACGGTCTCGTTCAGGACCATCCCCTGAAAACCTTGGCCCTCAGTTAGTAGCATCACAAGCCCAGTATGCTGCAATGCCACTCCAGGCTACCACAAGTGACTATAAGCCCTTTTCTTCCCCACCTCGGCAGCAGCTTCTTTATCAACCTCCTGTAAGCTGTGCCCCTGCCATTCAGCCCTTAGCTCAGCCCTGGCAGCACACGAATCCTTCTGATCATAGTAAGTTCCTTGCCACCCGTCAAGTCCCAGTCTCACGTAACCCCTTTGTTACTGTTATTGTATCTCATATCATTTCCCTTTTAGAAACCACACATACACACACACATATACAAACATACCTAATAAAGAAAGACATTGTGTAATCAAGTGACTGGACAAGACTGTTCTTATCGACAACTCCACTGGTCTCAAGCCAGCTACCTGCACATCCCTCTCAAACCTCCTTTTCACTGGAGATTAATAGAGATTACTAGCAGGCTGCCAACTCTCACGCATTGACCGTGAGACTCACGCAATTGACCCTTTTCACACGCTCTCACGCACGCCACACATCCATTTTCTCACGCAGAGAAAAATCGCGGACAAAGAGGACACTGACACCGACAGACAAGGTTACTTTTGATATGGAACAAATCCACAGCTGTCAGATTCTGTCAATATTTTTATGAGATTCACACAATAAATAATGTTTTGGCTCTTTGAAATGTGACAGATCGCTGTAGCGCGTCAGTTCAAACGGCACGTGATACAGCAGCCTACAAATACAAATCCACTGCTTCTTAGCTACGCAGCGTTGAGTGAACCTATGAAAGAGAACATCTCTGGTTACTGATGTAACCTATGTTCTTATTCGGTCTGGTTACTACCGTTTACGTCGGAACCGGTTCCCTATGGGCTATATGCACGCATAACTTCCGCGTTTGATGCAAGGATGCTCTTGCGTTTCCGGTTGGGGAGATTTAAAGCGGAGGAAAACCGAGGAAAACGGGATTATGGCAGAGTCTTAAAAATGTATTGTCCTCTCGTCTTTGAAACGAAACTTTAATACGTTTAGATGTAATTTTATATATAGTTATGTTTATTTAATATAATAAACAAAGAAGCATAAACAAAATGAGGGGTGTCTGTTTTGTCTGTTTTTGTGACTAACGTTTCTTTAGTATAGCAATAGAGTATAAAAACCAATATAAATTCTCGTATAGCATTGGACTCTACGATCAGCGGAAGTAATCCAGCACCCTTAGACCTTCACCGGAAATACCGCCGTGCATATGCCCATTGGCACCGAGTTTCGGTACCCAACCCTATACATTCTTTGTAATATTGCGTTGTAACTTGGGTTTGATTCCCATGTATACCTTGAATACAATAAGTTGCTTTGGATAAAAGTGTTTGCCTAAAGAAAGTTGTGACAAATAGTGATAAAAGATGTTGATTAGGAAGCATATTTAATACAATCTAATTAACACAACTGTTTTTAATTCATTTTTACTTATTTGTGAGTTCATTCATTTGCTGAAATTGACAGGTGAGATGATCATTGGGGCTGAGTATGTGCTTTTAATGTTTGTACATGGGTTTAAGAATGGATAGAGTTCCTCAGTGAACCACTGATCAATGAAAGAGTAGATATGAGACTTGGACATAGTTTTATGACACATCATAAAAGGAGACCAGACCCTCCTCATAATCCACAAACACACCCACCTTCTGGGGCTTCACTTTCAGCGAAAGAGAGACAGAGGTTCCAGCACAGGCACTATATTGGTTCCCATTTCTCAACCGCACTGTCCAGTATCCATTCTGTGGACTCAGTGTGATCTTCCCCTTTCTGTTAATGGATTCTTTGGCAACTCCTAAATCCCAATCAGTTTTTCCCTTCACCTGCACGTCAAAATAAAACCTTCCAGAAGAGAATCCCTGCTTTCCCAGGACATTACCACATTTATCAAACCTCGCTGGGTTGTCTGGGACATTCTGGGGTTTTTCTCCACGTCGCACTTGTTTGCCATCATCAGACAAGATGAGAGATTTATGAGCTGTATCTGGATCCAGCGTCACATCCACTAATAAAAATTAGAAAATTATTATATTTATATTCACATCACATACATTACGGACATATTGAGGGCTGATGCATCACTAATGCTGATGCCATATCACCACGGATTAAAAAGACATAATTTGTTTTTGTTTCTTACTCACCAGCATATTTTCTTGTCTTTGCGATCTCTAAAAACAGAAATTATTTTAAATGGATTTAAAATGAATTTAGTCGAACACAGAAATTCCACAAATCACATAAGATTACAACGCATTCTCACCTTTTCGAATCCTACTCAAATAGCGAACTGTAGAAATTGTAAAATATAAATAAGATAAATGATTATATCACAATTATATCATTATTGTTGCACAACAGTTTCTTTCCGTTCAGATGCAAATACAAAATTAAGACTTAATATTTTTTTTTGCATTAAAGTGAATCAATGAAAAACAGATATCACCTCTTCTTATGTAAACAAAAGTAGCAATTGCAACTGTAGTAATGATGCCGAACACAACTGTAATTGAAATCCAAATGACTGATGTTCTCCAAACTTGAAACATTTTACCTGTAACAAAAACCACCATACAGCATGACAGGTGAGCAATAGATATAGGCCTAGATATTATGTTAAATACAGACAAACAAACAAAGTCGAACAGTGCATTTTCTGTACTAAAACATTTAGGCAACAATAAATGTGCAAATCTGTGATTAAATCATAATTCATTATGAATCATCACGACTGCATCAAAATACTTTGAAAATTTGAGCATGATTGTATAGTATATTTTTTTTTAATTAAATATATAAAAGATGTTTACAGAATAGTCTGAATACTATATCAATGAAACCAGGCCTCAGTAAGCCGCTAGTCTCTGTGATTACTGTTTTATACCTCAACTTTATGGTAAAGAGTGGGGAAGCCTCCACCAGTCACTGAATGGTACAAGTTCTGGGATTTATCTGTTATGTACACTTTCTTGATATGTGGTTTTAACATGGTCTCTTAATGATCTTTTTAAAAAATAGAGCACTTGGCAGCACACCACTATAAAAGAGAAGCCAGAAGGATGTTTAAATAACTGTGGCAGGCGAAATAAAAATGGAAGATAACCCAATGCTCATTGGTTAAATAGGTTGGAAGTAAATGTATAAGAATGAAAGTTCCAAATGAGATTGTTAGATGATCAGCTGGTGCTTCATCTTTGTTGGCTAAAGTCTAATCTTTGCCATCTGGAACCTCTCGACTTGAGTGATTTCTTGCAAAGATGGGAAGGCTTTTTCTACAACATGATAAACTACCAAAATCATACTTACTTGAGACACTGATGTCCGTTTGCAGCATATGATGTTTCAGTTTGACTCTGCAGTGATACTTGGTCTCACTCTTATGCACAGTGATCCTGTGTTTCACGCTGAAGCCCTTTGCATCTGCATGCGCTTCTTTAGTATCAGAAATCAAAACATTTCCTTCACTGTCCAGCCACAGAAGCTCAGGTTCAGGGTTCCAGCCTTCACATGCACACAGAAGACGAAGCCCTCCTGAATGATCAAACTCCTCTATAATGATCAGTGGATGAGTTCCTATAGCTGCAGAGATCAAGGATAACAATAATTCAAATTGTACTTGTATATTGTATTATTGTGAAATAAACTTTGAAATTTATTTCAAAGGCGCTGTAAATCTGAGAGAATATTTCTGTCCGAGTTAGTTTTTGTGTGAATTTGTTGCAAAGAACATCCAAGCACTGAAAATAATATAAAACATCATCAAAATCATTAAAATATATAATTTCAGTAGTCTGCTCACCTCCGACATTAACATTAACAGTGATATCATCATACCAGGAGTTGGACTCAATAAAACACTTGTAAGCTCCTTCATCAGAGACTTGGACTGTTGATAGTTTGAGCGATGCATTTCCATTCTGTAGTAGATCTTGGAACAGTGCTGTTCTCCCTCTGTAGGACTCACTGTGCTCCGTGATTCTGTTTTCACGATTTACATAGAGATGCACTATTTCATCTTTGTCAAGTCTAAACCATTCCACTTTCATGTCCACAGCACTGGTGTTTGGTTTGATATAACAGGGCAGGATCACATCTTCACCAGCAACAGTGAAGAGAGGCGCTGCAGGCCCCACAACATTATACAGCTCTAAGACAAAGAAAACCATGTCTGAACTGGTCGTAAAAGATTAGATTCTCAACATGTTAAGACATGTGGTTTTATTAACCACGTTATATAGACTTGGTAGCACTGCATCTTTAAAATGTCAACACTGTCTGTTTTTTATTTAAGGTGAGAACGATTAGGCCTACCTGATGTTAAATCTGTAAGTGCACAAAAAATCAGAGCCACTCCAACCAACTTCATCCCTGCAAAAAAACAATTGCTCTACTAAGAGAAAAGTCAGGGCATTTATTACAAATAGTATACTATGCATTGAATAAAATAAATACAAATAATGATTTAGTCCAAATGCTTACCTGATTCGCCTTTCTGCTGTAAACACAATCTTTGAAAGACTTGCTATCACTTCCTTTAAAAACCAGACAAACCAGAACACTCACACATCCAAACACTCACATTTAAAGGTGCACACACACACACACACACACACACACACACACACACACACACACACACACACACACACACACACACACACACACACACACACACACACACACACACACACACACACACACACACACACACACACACACACACATTCAGGAAACACAGTCTAGATGCCTATACTTGTCGGTTTCACTGTTGTTATTGTTAACTACAAATATATATATTAAAAAATTATTAATTGTAATAAAGCTAAAAAAATATATAGAAACTATAAATGTTAATGAACCACTTCATGACTTATAAATCTTTATGCCACTTAAAACTACATCTGCATTTTCTTTGGTAGTTTCTGAGTTTGTATTTATATTCAGTTCAGGTTTATTCAAATCATTAAAAGGGTAATATACCCAAAATTATTATTTATTCAAAACTTATATGGCTTTCTATTGCTTAACATTTGAAAACTATTTCAACTGTTTTTGTCCATATAACATTATACCCCACTGACTTTCATTGGACAAAAAAGAGATATTTTTCAAAATAGAGAATGTTTTTGTTTACATAAATGCAGCACAGCAAGAGCACTTTACACCATTTAATGAGTGAAAAAAAAGAAACTGTACACAAACTTCATTGGTATTGGGTTTATACAAGAAAAATGAATTTGAGAATTCTAACAAGATTTGAGAAAAGTGCCACTTGAACTGATGCCTATATAACCGGTTCTACCCTAACCGCTCCCAGCGGGACTTAAACTGTGGTCTCCAGGGTGGGAGGCGGGAGCTCTAACAAGGAGGCTAAAATCCACAGCCTCTTAACGTCAGTCGCTAAAGCACCTCTTGAGATCAGGGGAGTGAGTATAACACGCACAGCTTTTACTGGCCTACGTCTGTTACACCTATCGATGCACCTCTTTGTGTATGCGTTTCACAATTTTCAAACTATGGGACCTACTGACGCTCTTTCTGTATCTTGGTCTACTGAGATAGTATAGAGTTCACTAAAAAAAGCATTCTTTTTCTAATTTCTTTCAGAAAATTCTTCTTGAGTCTAACAATAGTATTCATATGTTTATTGAAAGTGACTGGGGAAAAATGACATGAAACAATTCCCTTGTTGTAATTGAACTGGCTCCAGTTATTGGTGGTTGCGCTGGGGGTGTTCTTTGTTGTTTGCAGCCGCTGGTGTTGTAGATTTTGAGCATGAGGAAATACGCTGGGTGCGAAGCTTCTGCACATACTCGCGCTCCAGCAACAGTTGTCGTTGATGATTCTGTAGAGCAACCAATTGACTGCTTAGAGCCTCATCTCTATGGACAAGGTTTTTTAACTCCTCACACAGGCTTTTATTCTCCTGATACACCACATTTGTAAAGGACATCATGGAGTGAGATACCTCCTAGGGAGAGGGAAGAGAAAACGCCTTGACTCAGTAGCTCCTATGGTACTTTGAAAAACAACCATGCTGATTGACTTCACAACTAGCATTCACTTACCTTGTTGGCTGAGATAGTCAAAGCTTGCACCTGGTATTCTGCCTGTTGCTCCTGGCTCTTCATCTTTCTATTGAAATCAGCCTTGAGAGCAACCAGAGTCTTTGAATGATGACACTGCAAAGAAGTTAGCTCCCTCTCCAGCTCAGTGATACAACACAACTGCTGCTGTTGTAGAGTCTACGTCAAACACAACACAACACAAATACATAAATATGTACACTGAACAAAATTATAAACGCAACACTTTTGTTTTTGCACCCGTTTTTCATGAGCTGAACTCAAAGATCTAAGACTTTTTCTATGTACAAAAAAGGCCGATTTCTCTCAAATATTGTTCACAAATCTATCTAAATCTGTGTTAGTGAGCACTTCTCTTCTCTTATCATATCAAGATGCTGATTAGACAGCATGATTATTGCACAGGTGTGCCTTAGGCTGGCCACAATAAAAGGCCACTCTAAAATGTGCAGTTTTACTGTACTGGGGGGGGGGGGGGGGGGGGGGTACCAGTCAGTATCTGGTGTGACCACCATTTGCCTCACACAGTACAAGACATCTCCTTTGCATAGAGTTGATCAGGTTGTTGATTGTGGCCTGTGGAATGTTGGGCCACTCCTCTACAATGGCTGTGCGAAGTTGCTGGATATTGGCAGGACCTGGAACACGCTGTCGTTTACGCCGATCCAGAGCATCCCAAACATGCTCAATGGGTGACATGTCCGGTAAGTACGCTGGCCATGCAAGAACTGGGATGTTTTCAGCTTGCAGGAATTGTGTATAGATCCTTGCAACATGGGGCAGTGCATTATCATGCTGGAACATGAGGTGATGGTCGTGGATGAATGGCACAACAATGGGCCTCAGGACCTCATCACGGTATCTCTGTGCATTAAAAATACCATCAATAAAATGCACCTGTGTTCGTTGTCCATAACATACGCCTGCCCATACCATAACCCCACTGCCACCATGGGCCACTCGATCCACAACATTGACATCAGCAAACCGCTCACCCACACAACACCATACATGCTGTCTGCCATCTGCCCTGTACAGTGAAAACCGGGATTCATCCGCGAAGAGAACACCTCTCCAAAGTGCCAGACGCCATCGAATGTGAGCATTTTCCCACTCAAGTCGGTTACGACGACGAATTGCAGTCAGGTTGAGACCCCGATGAGGATGACGAGCATGCAGATGAGCTTCCCTGAGACTGTTTCTGAAAGTTTGTGCAGAAATTCTTTGGTTATGCAAACCGATTGTTGCAGCAGCTGTCCAGGTGGCTGGTCTCAAGACGATCTTGCAGGTGAAGATGCTGGATGTGGAGGTCCTAGGCTGGTGTGGTTACACGTGGTCTGCGGTCGTGAGGCCGGTTGGATGTACTGCCAAATTCTCTGAAACCCCTTTGGAGACGGCTTATGGTAGAGAAATGAACATTCAATTAATGGGCAACAGCTCAGGTGGACATTCCTGCAGTCAGCATGCCAATTGCACGCTCCCTCAAAACTTGTGACATCTGTGGCAATGTGCTGTGTGATAAAAGTGCACATTTTAGTGTAGCCTTTAGAGTGGCTAGCCTAAGGCACACCTGTGCAATAATCATTCATCATCACCTGAACAATATTTGAGATTAATAGGCCTTTTGTGTACAAAGAAAAAGTCTTAGATCTTTGAGTTCAGCTCATGAAAAATGGGGGCAAAAACAAAAGTATTGCGTTTATAATTTTGTTTAGTGTATATAAAAAGCCATTCCATCGTAGTGCAGTATGAAAAACAATTATGTAATCCTCAACTATATGAAAATGCTGACACTAGTTCACACTTATTTCAGAACCTATACAGCACATGAGCTTTGAAAATTCAATTCAACTCATTTCACATTTATTTGTATAGCGCTTTTCACAATACACATCATTTCAAAGCAGCTTGAATGAATAAATTAAGTGGTTTTGGTAGAGTGTCATTGGGAACTTTTCGCCTACTGTTTTTCTAATACTTTGTATTCGGACATACTACTCTTTTGCAGTACTGTTTTTCACTTACTATATAGTAGGAAAGTATTCGATTTTGGATGTAGCAGATCACTATACATGTGCATGTTACGGAACATGCCATTTACATAGTCTACAAACAGTCCATTCCATCCTCCACCTAACCACAGGCTCCACTGTTTGCTACAATGGTAAAACGCTAAATTATAGACTGCAAAACACAACTACAAAACACAACATAACAGAAACCCTTTAAGCCCCAACATAACAGAAGATTAAATGCTAAGACAAAACAGACAAAATAACACTTAATTTAAACATTTATTCTCCGTTGGCAGTCTGACACGAAGCATGCTGGGAACTAGAACTCTGCTGAACTCATTCCATTTAAGTTCAGCTTAAAGGTAGGGTAGGCAATTTTCTGAAAGGCTAGCAATAGCAAGCTAGCTTTGAAAGCATAAGATCCCACCCTCCCTTCAGAGTGCTGTCTAAAGCCACGCCTCCTTCAAAACACATGAACACGTACAGCAGGGAGCAAACAAAAGCGTCACGAGACTCGAGACGGCGTTAAATTACCTCATGTCTCAAAGCACATAACATTACAATAATAATGAACATAAACAACTTAATTTTATTTACGAAAATCTAATTGTGAACAGGCAGTAGTGATTGATATTTGTCCAAGACCAACCACAAAGAGAGGAAGGAGATGGTGGTGGCGGAGGTGACAAGAATGGAGAAAGAGCGCTACAAGATCAAGGCTGTGTCGCAGGGCCGACAGGGAAAGTGGACAACCTGGGAGGGAATTGTCAACCGAAACATCACCTGGGCTGACCTGTGGAAAATCCCGCAGGCAAGGCTCAGCTTCCTCATCCGTGCAACCTACGACACACTTCCCTGTCATCGGAACCTTCACCAGTGGTTCGAGAGTGAGGAAGGCTGTACACTCTGCAATATCCCTAACGCAAACCTCCAGCACATCTTGTCAGGCTGTAAGATTGCGCTTTCCCAGGGACGCTATGGATGGCGTCACTACCAGGTCCTGAGAAAGCTAGCCGAGGTGATAGAGAGGCGTCGACAGGGCAGCAAAGGGGTACCACCAGCAGAGAACCACAACCACATCACCTTTGTCACGGGAGCTGCGGAAGAAGAAACCTCAGGCCAAGAGAAACAGCTAGGCCGTTTTTCCCTGACCAGGAGTGGAATATGAGAGTTGATCTCGACAGGCAGCTGCGTTTCCCGGTCGAGATTACTGCTACATCTCTCCGCCCTGACATAGTGATGTGGTCTACCAAGGTAAATTCCGTGCTCCTCATTGAGCTCACAATACCAGTGGAGGAGGGGATGGAGGCCGCCTATGAACGTAAGAAGGCCAAATACTCAGAGCTGACCGCTGAGTGCCGGGAGGCTGGCTGGAAGACCTCCATCTATCCAGTGGAGGTTGGATGTCGAGGCTACGTTGGACTGTCAACCACACGCCTTCTGAGGGACATAGGGAGTGACTGGAGGGAACCTAAAGAAGGCAACCAAAGAGCTAGCGGAGGAGGCAGAGAAGGGGAGCTTTTGGCTCTGGCTGAGGAGGAAAGACAAGAGCTGGGGAAAGAACAACTAACCCCGATAACAGCCGCAGAGGGTAATATCTATCAGCTGCAGGGGGTGACAGGGAGACGTTGTCTGGTTGGTGTTCCCTTGTTGTCCACTTGAGGTCTCTTTTCCCTTACCGTCACTTAGGGGTGGGCAATATCTCGATATTTAAAATATATCGAGATATTTTTTAAACACGATATGGATTTTGACATATCGTATATATCGATAAATTGTTTATATTTAATTCTGATTTCGCCACTTTGCCTTCTCTGCGCTGTGCTCGCCCCCGCCTTCTTGCTTTTGTTCCCCCTCCCCTTGCGTGTTGTCTCATTCAACATGGCGGCGCCCGCAACTAGCCCAGAGGCTACAGAACTCGTCTAAAAAAATCGTCTTAAATGCTGTCTTACATGCACTTCTTGAGGCACACACGCACACTAGCAAACACACGCAAGGTCTCTCGCTCTCGGCCCCTCTCCGCCGTGCGAGCGCTACACGGTGCTCTCTCCCTCTCTGCCGTGCGCACGCTACATGGTTTGAATATACATATTCACGCAGCCTTTCAAAAACTGGGACATTCTGTGTCCCGGGAGAGTGGATAAATTTCCCGGGACAGGTTATTAAAAAGAATGACAATCCCGGTAAAACGGGACAGGTGGCAACCCTGGCCATTGCCGTTGTTGAAATATTATTTTTCTATACAGGGATTTTTTTTTTTTAAATGTCGCAGAAGCACTTTGGACTACATGAACTGCCTCCTTCTTTGCACTCCAATAAAAAAAAAAAAGACTGTGGTATTTAGCATTTTTGTTTTTGCAGTAGTTTTTGTTGGGTTATTTTTCCTGTAAAGATATCGAGATATATATCGTATATCGAGATATAGCAAAATATATAGAGATATATTTTTTTGCTCCATATCGCCCAGCCCTACCGTCACTATTTCAGTATGAACTACAAGTCCCATCTTCCTGTGTTGTCACTGATTGTTCACTGTCCTCAGCTGTTTCTCGTTACCTTGTTTGTATCTGTGTATTTATACCCTGTCTGGTTCAATGTTGTGCACGGAGTCCTTGTATTATGTTCCCACACTTCCGTAATCTGTTCTGCCTTGTTTGGCAGAAGGACTCCGTTACCTTAAGATCCAGCATGATGGGGGTTCGTATCCTTCCTCCTAACACGGAGAAGGAGAGGAAGGGGCGAGTCCAAAATTTGATGGGCCTACGCCAGCAGGGCGAGCCGGTGGGGTCTCTGGCTCAGACTTTTTGGACTTTTTCGAGAGGTTTGGACTACAATGATTCTGCATTGAAGGATTTTTTTTATGTCTGCCTTGATGACCCATTACCTGGGTGGGAGATGAAGGGGCTGGAGATTCTGGACTTTTGGGGGTTCACCAGGTGCCTTCATCATCGGAGCCAGTGGGATACGCCAGTTACGCCTGTGTCTCATGATGAGATGGCCGCCATGCCCTTGCCGGAGGTTGTAACTCCTTCGGAGGCGGTGGGCTCGATGCCAACCGTCTCGCCATCGTAGGAGGAGGAGAAAAAGGGGCTGTTCACGTCACGTCTGCCGATCCAGAGACTGTTCACGTCACGTCTGCCGATCCGGAGACTGTTCACGTCATGTCTGCCGATCCGTAGATTATTCACGTCCTGGAGGCCGTCCCCGAGCAACCTGATCTGCCAGCCCCGCTTAAGCTGTTCGCCCTGCTGGCCCCGCTTAAGCTGCTCGCCCTGACGCCTGATGGGTCGGTTATGTCACAGTGTCTGGTTGGTGTTCCCTTGTTGTCCACTTGAGGTCTCTTTTCCCTTACTGTCACTATGTCAGTATGAACTACAAGTCCCATCTTCCTGTGTTGTCACTGATTGTTCACTGTCCTCAGCTGTTTCTCGTTACCTTGTTTGTATTTGTGTATTTATACCCTGTCTGGTTCAGTGTTGTGCACGGAGTCCTTGTATTATGTTCCCACACTTCCGTAATCTGTTCTGCCTTGTTTCCCTTGTGTTTCTTATGTTTTTGGATTGCCTTATTGGACTTTTGACCCTGGCCTGGACTGTTTGTGAGTATGGATTACCCCTTAATAAATATTGCTTTTGGATCTCTCATTTTCTGTGTGTGTGTCGTGACAGATGTCCCTGTCACTGCTCCGCCACCAGGAGATGTCCAGGATTAAAGGAGCGAAACGTTGGTGAATGGTGGTTCCTGGCTGATGACCCTGCAGCTGACCCATGGGCACCAGAGGAGGTGCGACCGGCAGCAATGCCTAGCAGGTGTTCCATCTACCTGTACTTTTCACTGTTGTGTGTTGATATTATACACTCTGACCGCTTGGTGGAGCAAAATGCTTTACCGGTAGAGTCAGTGTTGCTCTTTAACAACTTAAACAGCAATGACCTGTACCAGCTGCAGATTCATTTCGGAATTGATAGTGTTGCCATTGAAATGCATAAATTCAACTCACAAACCACTCAGAGTATAACGACACAAGTTTCCATCTCTTCCAAATGACAGTAGTTATGGAGTGAATGCAGCATAAGCTTGTTGTTTTGGTTAAGGAGAAACTGTAAAAGGTAGCTTCTTTTTCGGTTGCCGTGCTCGGTGACTGATGTCTGTCTAACTCTGCATAGCATGAAACACGCTGATGACGTGTGATGTCTGCGTGAGCAGGGTGACCGGAGGTAATAAAATACATACGTTGACAGGCAGGTAGGACATCGTATCATTGCTTTCGAACTGATTGCAATGATTAAATGAACATTTTATGGTCCTTCTCCTTCCACTGATGATATATATACATATAAATACATTTAGACGACTTAACCAGTGGTCTAAAGGTATTAGTGATTGCAATTAAAATGTGAAGAGACTTTCAACCAGCATAACAAAAAATGTTTCTGGAACAAATCACCTACCCTCCCTTGAATATAATCAGTTATTGAGTTCACTAAAAAAATTTTCAATTAAGTACAACAAACTTTTTGTAATATTTCTCATTTAATTTGGTTAATTTAACTGTACAAACACAAAAAAGGAATAATAAAAAAGAGAGATCCTGCTACCTTAACCTCTTTTAGGTCTGCAATTTCAATATTTAGCTTTGCCAGCTGATTTTCCGTCTGCAGGATCTCTCTCTGCAACTCTGAAAACACAAACAACACACTTTGATGTTTTTTAAATGTTATCATCTAACCTACTATCTGGCTAACTAACTGTAGTGAGCAATTGATTGTACCTGTTGTTGGTAAAATGACTTGTAATGTATGGGCATTACACACTACATTTTCAGTCATTTACAGTAAAATATAACCACACGATTACGATTAGCCTTCATTTATTGTACACATACACACTTGTCTTACCGTTCTTCTTCTCCTCATGTTTATCCTGCATGTTCTGTCTCTGTCTCTGCAGCTCCTCAAGTTCCTGATGGCTCTGATCACTCTGAGTGACTATAGCATTCTGTCTCTTCTCTGCCTTCTTAGAAAGATATGAGATGTACTCTACCTGCACAGCATAGAAAATGAGAATGATTATGATTTTATATATAGGCCTAGAACAAATATTATTATGATAATAATTTATAATTATTATATTAATTTTTAAAAACAATTGTGTTGATTTGTGAGAACTTACATTTTCTTTACGTGTCTGATCTACCTCGTTCTGAAGAAACTCATTTTCTTTACGTCTGGAGTTGATTGTGTTAAAACTGTCAAACATGAACTCAAATGCAGATCCATAATATCAGTCAGTTTGAGCTACTGGCTGGACTGCATTAGTATTATTGGTCAACTGACATGAAAACACAAGGTTGGTGAAAAAAAATGTTTTCGCGTTTACAATATCGCAGTAGGCTGTACATGCTGTACGGCTTCATCAAGCTTTCGGTAATTTCCAAGCACATGCGCACTCATCAAAATACAGAAAGTTAAATGCTTAGCTGCTAGGCCTAGCTGCTATGTGTTTTACACGGCCACATTCTCTGGCAGAAACACTAGTGTGTAAACCGCCTTCACTTAAAACAGAGTGAGGAAATGTCATTCGTGGACTAGTGTGTGAAAGACTAGTGAAAGTATGTTTTGTATGTACCCAGGCAGCGCCAGCGGAACTTTGTAGGCTGATTTCAGCAAAGAATTGTGTTACTGTGCAAAAGGATACAGTAGTTCAACTCTCCTCTTCAGTGTGCTCAGGTTCTCAGTAAGAGTATCATATCTATGGGTTGCAAAGCAATATTAGCTAGATTAATGAACTGTCTACCTCAAAGGTGATTTAAACTGTTCTTTAAATCTCTACAGAGTCCAGGCAACTCACTCCCTGTGTAAAAGCATCTCATGTGATTCACCCTGTTCTGCGCTCTCAGCCGAGACATTTGCGTCCTGTTTGTGCTTTGACTCGCTTTTCTTCTTTGATGACATCCTGAAACCTCCTAGGCAAGTTGTTATCTCGAATACAGCACACTTACTACGACAAAAGGAACTCTAACGTATTTAATGAAGTTCATGCGCCGTTTTCCACTCCCACAGTTGGTTGCACTGTGTAACCAAGACAACCAGACATAACATTCGCTTTAAATCCAAAAAGAAAGAGTTTTAATAATCTATTTACCACTAATATCCAGCGCCTACACGCGATTTATTATTATTACTAATTGAAATTAAATTTTATTTAGGAAAATCTAATTGTGAACAGGCAGCATGATTGATATTTGTTGTGTGTTGATATTATTATACACGCTGACCGCTTGGTGGAGCAAAATGCTTTACCGGTAGAGTCAGTGTTGCCATGTCCTCATATTATAAACTACTTTGGACTTGTTTTTTTCAGTAAGTCTCTTACACAAAAGGGATACAGACACATCCCACCTCTCCTGGTAGGTCCGGGAATGTCCCCCATATTGATAGCGGCTCCCTGACGCCCACATTATGTATATCCCTCAAAATGATTCACATTTTTCACATCCCGCAAATTATATACTACAACAATAGGCATTATGGTGGTGGTGGTGGGGTGTTGTACCATCTCCCGGAAATTAGTTTTGTAGGGTGGGATGTCTGATATTATTGCAAGGTTTATTGGACTTATTACCAAACAGTGTTTGGCCACATTGTTTGGCACCAAACCTATTAAAGTTTTAATAATCATTCTAAATCTACGAGCATAAGGAAGCAGCTCAGGAACAATGTTGTTGGAATCACTTTCAGAACAATTTGAGCTGATGAACAATAAAATAAATTCCATAGCCAATCAGAATTGACTTAAAGGTTTGTTCACCCAAAAATGAAAAGTATCCTATAAATTACTCACCCTCAAGCCATCCTAGGTGTATTCTTTCAGCGAAACACAATCAGAGTTATATTAAAAAATATCCTGGCTCTTAATTCCACGCTTTATATGGGAGTGAATGGTAGGCTATCTTGTTTTTTGAAGCCAAAAAAAAGCACATACATCCATCATAAAATTAATCCATATACAGCTCCAGGGTTAACGGTCTTATGAAGTGAAGTGAAGTGATGCGTTTTTGTAAGAAAAAATTCCATAATTATAACTTTAGAAACCGTAATCATTAGCTTCCGGTAACGGGGGTAAAGCACATTCATGAGAGAGTCGAGTTCCAGCGTATGACTGAGCATGTAGGAATTTTTTTTTAGACTTCTAATTCGTGACTGGTGTTCAGTTTTGCTCTATCCTCTGCGATTCCACTTCCCCGTTCGTCAATACATGCGTCGGGTCAAAGGTCACTCTTCCGCTGGAACTCGACTTATGTAGGCTATAGCCGTTACCGGAAGCAGTCATTATAGTTTATAAAGTTATAAATATTTTTATTACAAAAACATATCGCTTCACTTCAGAAGGCCTTATCAACCCCCTGGAGGATGGATGTGCTTTTTTGGGCTTCAAAAAACAAGGCACCATTCACTCCCATTATAAAGCATGGAAGAGCCAGGATATTGTTTTTAATATAACTCTGATTGTGTTTGGCTGAAAGAAGTCATAAACACCTATGGAGTATATTCGTTCTTTCTTTCTAACCATTATTGGAATCAGGTTGCTTGTTTTTCTTGAGAGATCTGGCAACAATTCGTAGAGTGCACTGAGCGAACAAACAGGAGGCAGAATCGAGCTCACATAGCCTACTCAAGAAACGTCCACGTTTGATAGTTTTCCAATGTTTGAAGATTGAAAACAACAACACATAACTGCAATAATAAACGCAATTCTTTTCTCTCTTCATGGCTTGCGGTTTCAGTTCACGCGCTCTGTGTGTGTCGGAGGGGAGGATGCGCGGCTGAAGACTTCAGTCCGGAGAGACTGAATCCGCATCCTGATCAGACAATCATAGCGATGATGGAGGGACGACACGAGTTTTTATGCGGGGTTGTTGAAGGTAAGTTTACGCACAAATTCTTTTTTTCTGAATGCTTGTCTGGGTTACACAAATACAGATGTATTCGTTAAAATGCATGTTTGACGTGAATTGCTGTGGGTATCTTCAAAGCATTATTTACTACAATTGTATACGAAAAAAATAAGCACCACGCTATACTGACACATATAATTAACCTTTAAAATAACTAATTTCTCATTTATGAGCTAGTAGTGCAATGCAATTCATCATATTAAGCCGACGTGGAGCATCCTGGGTATTTATTTCCACACTGGAGTGTGATAGGAAGCAGCTGGACAGAAACCGTAACACACATATCTCTGTCTCCATCCACACACACACACACACACACACACACATGCATGTTGTGCATATCTCCTAATTGGCCTTACTTGTTTGTAGTTCAGTGTCACATTATTGGCTCGGTGGGCAATTTGTCTCTTCTCTCCAGTGAACCCTGTGGGATTCCAGTAGCTTTTTATACTGCTTTCTTACCCCACTTATGTTTTACAACTGCAAACTTGTAGCTAGAACTTGTGGAAGGGAATAGGGGAGTCACACTTTATGATCTATAACATCAAAGCTATAGTGATACTTTACATTAAAGTAGATTTAGGCTACTATAAGTAAACCCAGCTTAACTTGCATACAGTGCACTTAGGTAAAGTGATGCATATTATTCAGCAAATCTCGGCTATTATATACCGTATAAAGTTGGATATTTAAGTATATCCAACATTATTTGCATACACATATATACCCAAGAATAGAGATACATACTATATAACAAGTTTCAACTGCTTGTTTATATCGTTGTGTAACCAGTCTGAATCTACCCACTTTGATTGAGCGGGATTCGAATCGGGGGCTCCGGAGGCGGGCGCGCTAACAAGAACGCTAAAGACCGCATCCGCTAGCCTGCCTCTTGAGTTCATGGGAGTGAGGTTTTACCTGCACAGCTCTCATTAGCTGGCCTCCGTGACCCATCTCTAATCTGTTAAATGTGACTACAAGGCATTCGATATTACAGATATTAATATATGACCATTGGTTTGGCTCATTTCTTGAAACAGAAATTACGTTCTCAAAACTCTAAGATAATTTGGCAAAACAGTCTTACAGTTCAGCACAACACCATGGTTCACCTGCAAAAGCTCATACCTCTCCCAAACCAGTTCTCTCATGTGTCAAAACTAAATTTCCTTTTCATTTAAACAGTCAGTGCCCCCAAAATGCTTCGTCCCTTTGGCATTGTGTAAGCACTGCAAGTCAAAATGTTTAGATGTTTAGTCACTATGCTATGCCAGAGGACCATTGAAATAGGCCCATCCCTCATGTCCACCTTTCAGTCTTAGCCCAGTCCTTTATTGACAATGGTTACTATACTGTTTTTTTGTCTAGCTAACAAAATACAATTGTGTATAAAACTGAAAAAAAGAAATAGGATTTTAGGCTAAGAGTAGCTTCCAAGGTTTGACATCACACATTGCACTCATACTGTAACCATTATCATTCACACACATAAAGTGACTTCCATACATCAGAGTAAAAAGAAAATGTATACAGCATAATATACTGTAATATAAACACACAAACAAAAAACAATGAAAACGATATGCAGCCTACAGTGCTGTAAATAAAGCTGGAGTTTCACAACTAACAGTTCTTCACTGGTCGCTGTCCTCACCCTCCCTCTCCTGGCCACCATACTCTATCGTCCATGGTGTCTTTGTGCTCCTCGGCCTCTTCCCCCTATTCCACCACCACGCACCCTTACTCCTCTTACTCCTCCTCTTCGTCTTCCTCCTCCTCTTCCTCGAGCAGGCAGTTGCCCTTGTTCATTTACTTGGCCAGGTGCCTCCATGTTCTGAAATTGTACTGGTCCTGCATGGTCAAGCTCTTTACATACATGTTTGGCAGCATTCACAGTCATGGACAGCACCTGTCAGGTAACTAAACATACTGTTTGATTGGTCATCTGAGATGTGTGAAACTCCTTTGTTAGTCAAGTTCTAGTTTCACCTGACTGTCAATTGCTGTAATAAATGTATCAAATGTTTCAAGGGATTCATATACAGTATGGTATTCATGGTATTATGTTCTTGACTAATTTTGACAATTGAACAGACTATTGTGCATGTGATGACTTATACAATGAAATGACGCTGACACGTTTTGGAGCGAACAACCATTAGACTGAGAATCAACAATCAGTTTAGAACAACAAGATCTATTCACTTGGAAATTGTGCTAAATGTAGGCTGCCTGTACTTAATCATTTGCAAAGATGTACTGAGACATGTACTTAGACATTTGCAATTTGATGAAATGAATGAGAAATTCAATTCCTTTTGTGAACAATTGCCAAGTGGTTTGGAGGTTTGTCCATGTTGTTTTGGGAATGTAATTTCTGTTTCAAGAAATGAGCCAAACCAATGGAGAAAAACTGTAAGATAACATCATTATTTTCTGTTAAGCTACTGTATTGTTCACATACCAGTAGGGCCAATCACTTCATATTCATAATTACTGAATCAAATCAAGCAGGAAAATATGTGTGTTATGTTTTTACATCAGCATGGCAGCCAACATGAATAATAAATTATAACCAACCACTGTCTTTCCTAATGCAGCAAAATCTATAGAATGCTAGAACGACATAATGATGTGTGATCCCAAACACTGTCAGTGACAACTTATAAAAGTTTTTGGAATTTTTCAAAATTTATTCATTAGCTCTCAGTAGAGGTATTGAGGATGGATGCGTATTGAAAATGAGGATATGGATGTAACGTATTTAATGATATGTACCATAGTTTTATAAATTGTTATATGTCATGAATTACAAAATTTTTGTGTATTTAAATGTTGAATTATTCGAATTAATTCATGTCTTCTGTTACACAAGCAAGCTGAAACCAATGTAGGCTTTCGCAAAAAGATTTGCTTCTCATCGCAGCTTATTCTGGCCAAGAACTACCCACTTAGACAGAAAGAGTGTTCAGAGCAAATCCAAGACTTGTCATGGCAGTCTCTGTGAAATGTTTTACAGAAAACACTGTAAAAATAGCAGAATATATGTATAAACTTTGTGATCAGAGTCATCAGACAACCCTAAAAACTATGCAGAT